GTAAATAGGGATAAGAAAGAGTTAAGAACAAAATATAGAAATATAAAAATGGCAGACAGTGATAAATGATAAAAATACAATATTATATAAAATTAAATAAATCAAAGTCAGCATTTAAACCATTTGGGGTTAAGATTTTTAAGTTAAAAACCCATTCCATTTCACATTTTCCCAGAATATTTTTTATATTGCCTCCTCTCCATGGAATAGTGCATTTTTTCTACCAATACATTTTAAATGGCCTGGATCGTTATTATGGATAGAAAAGTGTTTGGATACGGTGTGGTTTTGGTATCCGTTGGTAATGTTACGGCAGTGTTCGCCTAATCTCGTTTTTAGGCTCCTTGTGGTCATGCCAACGTACTGCAAACCACATGGGCATTCCAGGAGATAAATTACATTCTTAGATGCACAGGTAATAAAATCTTTAATATTATATGTTTTGTTGGTTTTATTTGATTTTAATTGATGGATTGGTTGGTGTATTTACAAACCTTACAGCGTTTGCACTTAAAGAACCCTTTGGTATTGGGTGGGAGGCGGGATTGGGGTTTTACAACATCCTCCCTAGTAAAGTTGGAAGTTAGGATTGATTTGAAGCTAGGAGCTCCTTTAAATACAATATTAGGTCTTTCTGGTATAATTTCTTTTAAAATATCATCTTGTTTAAGCAAATGCCAATGTTTCTTTATTATTTTTATAAGATGATTACTTTTATTGTTAAAATTAAATATGATGGGGAGACTGGGGTGGTTGTTGGAATTTTTTTCTTTATAGTTTAACCCCTTAAGGACACATGACATATGTGACATGTCATGATTCCATTTTATTCCAGAAGTTTGGTCCTTAAGGGGTTAAAAGTTCTGTTTTTTCTTTAGTTCTAATAACATCTATAGTATTGTTAAGGTTATCCAACGGGTAATTTTTTTCCCTGAATTTGTCTCTCAAAAACTCTGCTTGCTGATTAAAATCTTCTATCTGAGAGTGTCACATATTCATCCGCTTATAGAAATGTGGTTAATGACATTTACTGTCCATACAGGAAAAGTTGTGCCGAGCAGCAACCTAATCCACAGAAGGGTTAATGCTGAGCAGCAATTATGCAAATGAAACCTGGTAACTGACTTTGGGGTCAAAGGCCGGTTACAGCCTATCAGAACTAAAGGAGGGGTATTTAGGCCCAGTTCTCAGCCTGCTCAGTGCCCTGTCGTGGTTTCCCTTGTGGTTGTCTGAGAGCGCGTTCCTGTTTATAGTTTTCTACCTGGTTTTTGACTTTGGCTTTGTTTATTGACTTCTCTATATTCTGGTATCCTGACTCCTGGCTTTCCTCATCCCTGTGTCCCTTTCTGTGTTCCCTGACCTCGGCTAGTATTTTTGACTATTCTTTGTACGTTAAATCCGGCCATTCTAAGGACCGGTAATACGCTACTTATTTGTCATCCGTGCTGTACAGTTCTACGTGCTGGATCAAACAGTAATCCTGACATTACGACATGGCCATAGATCCTGTAGAACTGTGTCAGCACATAGCTGCTTGTGAGAGGAAATTAGAGGAGAATGATCACCGCATGGATCAATTCACTCAGGCTTTAAGTACGCTTCTCGCTAGAACGAGCATCTGCAGCCTGCAGCGTCTCCTCCTATAGCACCTCTACCCTGTGTACCTCCACCCACTGTTAATAGGACTCCTTGCATCTCCTTATCACCATCCCTACAGTTTGATGGCAATATCCAGGAATGCAGGGGTTTTCTTAATCAGGTGGAGTACCATTTTGAGGCCTCACCAGGGTCATTCCCCACGGACAGAGCAAGAATTGGTTATCTAATGAATCAATTAAAGGGCAAGGCCCTTGCCTGGGCTAATCCGTTGTGGGAGAGTAATCGGAGCATAGCTCATAATTACCAGGAATTCCTTGCCGTATTCAAGCTCACGTTTGAGCCATTGGGTAGAGAGGATGACGCCTCCACTGCCCTAATGCACATCAGACAAGGTAACCGGTCTATCTCGGATTATGCTATTGAATTCCGTACCTTAGCTTCCGAGGTAGACTGGACTAACAATGGTGTAACGGAGCTCCTTGTACTCCGACTGAGTACCCTCCGTTGACGGATGCTCCTAGGGCTTTCTGAGGACTCCAAGCGCTGCAGCAGACACCACAACCACCGCAGACTCTGCAACCGCCGTATCTTGACTGGAGTCTCGCCGTCTTCCTTCCACCCTGGATCAGCTTCTGTCCTCCAGGACTGTGTGGGAAAGAACTCTTCCTTCCACCCTGTATGAACCTCCAGCATCCAGGACTGTGTGGTGAAGACCCTCCTCCAAGGAGAGTGCATCAGGAACAAGCTCTTAAAAGAGCTAAATGACTCAAGCTCAGGGGAGCATGCAGAGCACAGCAATCCCCAGTGTGGTTATAACAGCTCCCTCCAATAACAAAACAAGGCTACATTTAGAGGGATCAAGAAGAACTGTCAAAACCTTTATTTCCCTTGGGACCAGCCAATAGGGTCACCACAATAACATTGTTGTGAAACCTCAATAAAATCACAAACAGTCAAACCATATCAAGCAACACACAGTGACTTATCACAACACAATGGCACATTTTTAAAGGGGTGGGGGAGACAATATTTAACAGTAAATATCTCACCTGCCTGCAGAATTAGCAATATGCAAATCTACCCGAATATGCAAATGAACCAGTCTTGCAATTCAGGTAGTGCATATTGCTGTTGCTACCAACAGAGGGCACTAGACAGCTCCATAGCCAAACCCACCTAGTTGGTAGCAAACCTCAGCAATACAAGAGAGCAGGCAATACATTACACAGTACATACACACACACTATAAACAATTACATTACACACACCCTGCACCTATAATGGGTACAGGGTTACTAAAACATAAGATAAATAAAGCAGCCTACATAAATAGTCTGTCTGAAGGTAGACTAGGGGCTTTAAAGCCAGATACATGAAAGAGTCATAGTCACAGGGGAGGAGGCTGGCAAGTAGGCCTCTCCAGGACCAAGTGGCGAAGGGCACTTCGTCACAAATGGGTTAATCTCAGCATTCAAAAAGGGTCTCTCAGAGACTATACTAGATGAGATAGCCGCTAAAGAATTACCTAAGAGTCTTAACGAATTTATTATGTTTGTCATGCATATTGATGATAGGTTAAGACTCAGAGAAGTCACCAGAAGCAAGACCAGACGTACGGCTATGTCCATAGCACCTCAATTCTCTAAACCTGTTTTGTCTAACCTCCCTGTACCGTCCGAACCCGAACCTATGCAGTTGGGGGTCACTAGACTGTCAGAGGCCGAAAAACAGTATAGGAGAAGGGAGGGGTTATGCCTATATTGTGGTAGAAAGGGACATATGATAACTAATTGTCCAGTGCGTCCGGAAAACTTCCGCACTTAAGAACCTTAAGGGGACAGATCTTAGGTGTGATGGAGTTGTCCTCTAACAAAAACAAAAGTAGACTCCTCCTTGAGTTATCTATTTCCCTTGATAACAAGAAGTTTTCTTGCAGTGCCCTAATGGACTCAGGTGCTGCTGGAAATTTTATTGATGTCCAGTTTATTAGGGGTAATGAGATACCGGTCAGGGAGAGACCTACGCCGCTAGCTGTAGAGGCTATTGATGGTAGACCACTCACACAACCGCTTATAACCCACGAAACTGTCCCTATTACGATATCCATTGGGGCCTCCCATAGGGAGGAGATGACGTTTCAGGTTATTACTTCTCCATCATGTCCTATCATATTAGGGTTTCCGTGGCTCAGTAAGCACAATCCCTATATTGACTGGGCTAATGGGGAGATATTAGAATGGGGTAAAGAGTGTATGGGTAGATGTATAAAAACAGTACTAAAGAGATTAGATACTATTGACCTTCCCACTACCACTCCCCAAACTCCTGGAGTTCCCATACAATACCGAGAACTTCAGGAGGTGTTTAACAAGGCTCAATCCGATGTATTGCCTCCCCACAGAGCATATGACTGTGCCATTAACCTGTTTCCAGGCGCTATGCCACCTAAGGGTTTATGCCTTATCTCCCCAGGAGAGTAAAATAATGGAGGAATACATCAAAGAATCCTTGAGCAAAGGGCACATAAGAAAGTTTATGCCTTATCTCCCCAGGAGAGTAAAATAATGGAGGAATACATCAAAGAATCCTTGAGCAAAGGGCACATAAGAAAGTCATCCTCACCAGCTGGTGCAGGATTCTTTTTTGTTGAGAAAAAGGGTGGTGAGTTACGCCCCTGCATAGACTACAGGGCACTTAATAAAATCACTGTAAAAAATGCATACCCTATCCCACTCATTTCCGAATTGTTCGATAGACTTCAGGGAGCTAAAGTATTTACTAAGCTTGACCTTAGGAGCGCTTACAATTTGGTTAGAATTAAAGAGAATCATGAGTGGAAGACGGCATTTAATACCCATAGTGGACACTATGAATATCTGGTAATGCCATTTGGGTTATGCAACGCCCCGGCCGTATTCCAAGACTTTATAAATGATGTACTCAGGGAATTCATTTACTCATTTGTCTTGGTTTATTTGGACGATATTTTGGTGTATTCCCCTGATCTTCAAACTCACCACTCCCATGTGAAACAGGTTCTGCAGACGTTGTTGAAAAATAAACTTTATTGTAAATTAGAAAAGTGCATATTTGACCAGCCTGAAGTCCACTTTTTGGGTTACAACATCTCTGCATCGGGATTTCAAATGGATCCTAAAAAACTAGAGGCTGTACTACACTGGCCATTACCCTCTGGTTTAAAAGCCATTCAAAGGTTTATTGGTTTTGCCAACTATTACAGAAGATTCATCAAGGGATTTTCTTCTGTAATAGCCCCAATCACAAATATGACTCGCAAAGGGGTTAGTAGCACGGTATGGTCCAAAGAGGCTGTGAATGCTTTTGAGACTCTTAAACAAAGATTTGCCTCTGCGGACATACTAAAACATCCCGACACCAGTAAACCTTTTATATTGGAGGTTGATGCATCCGAGACAGGGGTAGGGGCTGTTCTCTCTCAGAGAGAAAGCCAGGGAACACCATTGCATCCTTGTGGCTACTTCTCCAGAAAGATGTCTCCTGCTGAGCGCAACTACGATATTGGCAATAGAGAACTGTTGGCCATTATTCTTGCCCTCAAGGAGTGGCGACATCTTTTGGAGGGTTCCAAGGACCCCCTGTTGATCATAACCGACCACAAAAATCTGGCATATATAGGGGATGCCAAACGTTTGTCTTCCAGACAGGCTAGATGGTCACTGTTCCTTTCACGTTTTAACTTTCTCATTACTTATAGACCTGGTTCTAAAAATACCAAGGCTGATGCCTTGTCCAGACAATTTGATAATGAGTCAGCTCCGGAACAGGTGACATCTCCTATTATTCCACCAGAGTGTATTATTGCTACTACTGTCCTCTCACTGTCTTCTCCACTGCTTGGCACCATACTGGAGGCCCAGCCTCAGGCGCCCAGTGGTAAACCGTGTGATAAACTGTTCGTTCCCCTATGTGAAAGGGTTAATATCATGAAAGTGTTCCATGACAATATAACTGCTGGACACCCGGGCATCAATAAGTCCACTGCCGCGATCACTAGATCATTTTGGTGGGATTCACTCAGGAAAGATGTAAAGGAGTATGTGCAGGCATGTTCTGTGTGTGCAGTTTCTAAGGTGACTCATGCACTTCCTTGTGGCCTGTTGCAGCTTCTTCCTGTTCCTGAGATTCCATGGTCCCACTCATCCATGGACTTTATTGTTGAGCTTCCTAGCTCTGCTGGGTTCACTACTATTCTCATGGTTGTAGACAGATTTTCTAAGATGGCTCACTTCATTCCTCTCAAGAAGTTGCCATCTTCGCAAGATTTGGTCCTAATTTTCATACGTGAAATTGTCCGTTTGCATGGCATCCCCACAATATTGTGTCTGATAGGGGCTCTCAGTTTGTGTCCAGGTTCTGGAGGGCGTTCAGTAAACAATTGGGGATTGATCTCTCCTTCTCCTCCTCCTACCATCCACAGACCAATGGTACAGCTGAGAGGGCTAACCAGTCATTAGAAGTTTATTTGCGTTGTTTTATTAATAGCACACAAGACAATTGGTCCGAACTACTCCCATGGGCCGAGTTCGCTAGAAACAATGCTGTTCATGACTCCTCTGGGCACAGTCCATTTTTTGTCAATTATGGTAGGCATCCTATGGTTCTCCCTGCGGTATTTTCTGATACTGCCATTCCTGCTCTGGATGAGCGTCTGGCCTCCATTCGGGATACCTGGGTTAAGGTTCAAATTGCTCTAGGGGCTGCTGCTGAACGCTTCAAACATTTTGCTGATAAGCGTAGGAGTGCCAACCCGGTGTACCAAGTGGGGGACCGGGTTTGGTTGTCATCTCGCAACATCAAGCTTAAGGTCCCTAGCATGAAGTTTGCCCCCAGATTCCTTGGTCCCTATAGAGTGCTTCGTAGGATCAATCCAGTGTCTTACTCTCTGGCTCTTCCTGCATCTTTAGGGATTCCCAACACTTTTCATGTGTCCTTACTCAAACCGCTTGTCTGCAATAGATATACTGTTCCTTGTGTTCCTCCCCCTCCGGTGGTGGTGGGTGGTCAGGAGGAGGGGGAGGAACACAAGGAACAGTATATCTATTGCAGACAAGCGGTTTGAGTAAGGACACATGAAAAGTGTTGGGAATCCCTAAAGATGCATGGATTCTAGGTTTTCTCGGGGCACTTTACAGTACTTGGTTGTTTGGAAAGGTTACGGTCCTGCTGATCGTTCTTGGGTTTCGGCTCCTGACCTGCATGCGGGCCGTAAGATTCACGATAAATTTTCTCTCAAGCCTGGTCCTGTCCGCCCGGTGGGCGTTCTTCAGGTGGGGGGTAATGTCACATATTCATCCGCTTATAGAAATGTGGTTAATGACATTTACTGTCCATACAGGAAAAGTTGTGCCGAGCAGCAACCTAATCCACAGAAGGGTTAATGCTGAGCAGTAATTGTGCAAATGAAACCTGGTGTCACGTATTCATCCGCTTATAGAAAAGTGGTTAATGACATTTACTGTCCACACAGGAAAAGTTGTGCCGAGCAGCAACCTAATCCACAAAAGGGTTAATGCTGAGCAGCAATTATGCAAATGAAACCTGGTAACTGACTTTGGGGTCAAAGGCCGGTTACAGCCTATCAGAACTAAAGGAGGGGTATTTAGGCCCAGTTCTCAGCCTGCTCAGTGCCCTGTCGTGGTTTCCCTTGTGGTTGTCCGAGAGCGCGTTCCTGTTTATAGTTTTCTACCTGGTTTTTGACTTTGGCTTTGTTTATTGACTTCTCTATATTCTGGTATCCTGACTCCTGGCTTTCCTCATCGCTGTGTCCCTTTCTGTGTTCCCTGACCTCGGCTAGTATTTTTGACTATTCTTTGTACGTTAAATCCGGCCATTCTAAGGACCGGTAATACGTTACTTATTTGTCATCCGTGCTGTACAGTTCTACGTGCTGGATCAAACAGTAATCCTGACAGAGAGCAGTTTCTCCTTAATCTTAAAGGACCACTATAGTGCCAGGAAAACATACTCGTTTTCCTGGCACTATAGTGCCCTGAGGGTGCCCCCACCCTCAGGGTCCCCCTCCCGCCCGGCTCTGGAAAGGGGTAAAAACTTACCTTTCTCCAGCGCTGGGCGGGGAGCTCTCCTCCTCCGATCCTCCTTCTCTCCTCCCCGTCGGTTGAATGCGCACGCGCGGCAAGAGCTGCGCGCGCATTCAGCCGGTCACATAGGAAAGCATTATCAATGCTTTCCTATGGACGCTGGTGTGCTCTCACTGTGAAAATCACAGTGAGAAGCACGCAAGCGCCTCTAGCGGCTGTCAATGAGACAGCTGCTAGAGGGAATGGGGGAAGGCTTAACCCATTCATAAACATATTTTTATAAAAAAATGAGTTAACCCTAGCTGGACCAGGCACCCAGACCACTTCTTTAAAAATGTACTTTTTGGTGCACTTTCCAGCCAAGGCTTATAGTGGCAACTCGACCGGTCAATGGCTGTATTTGTGCAAACCTTTTTAAAAAACGTTTTGGTGTTTAAAATACCATCTATGATAAAAATTTCTAAATCTAAAAAATTAATAATAGTGTTGCTATATTCACAGGTTAAAATAATTCCTCTGTCATTAGTGTTAAGATGGTAAATAAATGAACTGAGTAGGTCCTCAGAGCCGTCCCATATAAAAAAAGAGATCATTGATATATCTAAAATAGGTAACCAGGTTTGCCTGCCAGGCATGCTCGCCCCAAATGGCAGTGGTTTCCCAGTCTGCCATAAAGAGGTTAGCATAACTGGGTGCAAACCTAGTCCCCATATGTTTTTACACTATAATTATATATTTCATATGCTATTAGTTATATCTATGTATTTACAAAGGTTTTTAGCTGTTTTGTGTAAGTAATTACAATCTGCTCTGTGATTGGTCAGAGCAGTTTTGCTGCAGTTTTCAAAGTTGTTCCAAGCCTATATATACCCCAACTAGCCAGGTTGACATGTTTTTAATCCATTGATAAAGCCTATAGTGGTGAAACGCATTTGGATATTGTACTGTTTTTCAATTACTGTTAATAAATAGATTTTGGTCATTTTATTCTTTTGTACCATTATCTTTTATTTTTTTTTAATTTTATTTTTTTATTATAAACTACCTAGCTTTTTACCTATTATCTCCTATACTCCAAAGAATCCTGAGGTGGGGATTATACCACCCGTGCCTATACCATAGAGCAGTTAGCCTTCCCTATACATTGTGAATATATTTTATTATATTTTATATACCAGCATTATTTTACTGAGAGCACTATTGCTGTTTTATTATCTTCTCCCTGAGCTCCTGTTACCATCTTAAAGAATTATTTCAAAGAACGCTCACCATACATCCCAGAGGTGGGGATCATACCGCTGCATGCCTACTATACTAGAGCTAGTATAAGCTCTATTAAATGTGAGTGTATCTATTATATTTTAATACTTTTTATCCACTTTTGGAACATACTGCACCATCACTGTTTTTCGTTTTATTTTCCCCCTGGTTGCCTGTCACTACACTGAAGAGGAAGCTCACCGTATATCCTACAAGCGGGGATAATACCGCTGCAAGCTATTCATACCAGAGCAAGATTAAGCTCTACAAAAAGTGAGTATTATCTCTTCTTTTCTATTTGGATACCTTTTGGATCACTCTTTACCATCTCATCATCCATCGCCCTCCTCCATATATCAGTAAGGAGCAAAATTCTACAACTTCAGAGACCAACATAAGACCAAAGTTTTATTATACTGGACTCTATTTCAATATTTTTACCATAACCAGGACTTTTTTATTTTGTTTATTGGCGCAGTCCCATCCTTCTGTTTGTTTGCTTTCCGTATTTATCTCAAGGACACTTGAGGGAGTCCTTGTTTGGGATTGCTGCCTTTTGTAACTCTTTCTGATATATTAGCGCTGACTCCACTCTCTGTTTTTTTTTAGCTTCTTCAGGGCCCATACTAAAGCCAAGCACTCCTTTTCAACTGCCGCATAGCTCACCTCCCGGGGTAATAGTTTCCGAATGATATAGGTGACAGGGTGCTCTCCTCCATCCTCTCCAACTTTGCTTAGGACTGCCCCCAGTCCGAACATAGAAGCGTCTGTGTGGACAATAAAATGTTTGTTAGGGACTGGGGCAGCCAAGACAGGGGCATGTACAAGGGCATCTTTTAACTTTTGAAAGGCAGTTTCACAGGCGGGAGACCACAGGACTTGTCTGGGTAAGTTCTTTTTCGTGAGGTCAGTCAAGGGTTTAGCTAGGGCGCTGTAGTCCGGTAAAAACAGTCTATAATACCCGGCTGTCCCTAGAAAGGCCAGGACTTGGGTCTTGGCCTGGGGTGTGGGCCAGTTAGCGACAGCTTCTATCTTGGCGAGCTCTGGTGGCTGCTGTGCACACCCGACCCGGTGCTCCATAGTACTGTATTTCTGCCATGCATAGATGACATTTGTCTGGTTTCAGGGTCAGGCCGGCAGCCCGAATCTGATCCAGCACTGTCCCTACATGCCTTAAGTGTTCCTCCCAGGACTCACTACAGATCGCAATGTCGTCCAGGTACGCAAAGGCGAAATCCTGGAAGCCATCGAGGAGTCTATCCACCAAGAGTTGGAACGTGGC